GCCTAATTGAAGCCGAAACGTCTGGATCCGATTTAAATATAATTGCTTTTTGGCTACCAATAACTTGCCTTTGGCTCATTTACCCTTGTTTGTCCATTGTTTTAAAAAGATTTTAGATTTTGACCGTTGCGTTATAACTGACATTGAAGGGTTTCAAGTTACTCAAATTCCGTATAATGGCGTAATAAGCATAGATCAAATGAAACCATGGATCTCAGATCAACAAAAGTGATCGGCTCCATTAAACTGCGTTAACAAAAATTACAAGCACTGATTGTAGCGAATAAATGACATGTAATGTAAGGCGCAAATAAATGTAAATTTTATATGATTTGTATGACCGGGACGGCTACCGTCAGGAAGGCCGAGCTGTAGGGGAATGTGTATCACGATTGACATTCGTGTTCGTCACGAATGTCACTCGTGCCTGGTATTCGACCACTTCGACCATGTTTGCTTGTTTTCCGGAATCGAACGACGCGATCGTTCGATTCCGTGCGATGAGCCAGCAGTCGTTCCCTGGCCGCGCTGCGAATCGGCAGCATTCGAAATAAATTTATTAAGATACATCGGTGACTTTTTATCTTACGTTACCCTACATAGATGATCAAATAGAACATTTAAAAGATTTTGAAAATCAGTCTAGAAGGGTACAATTTTAAAATTCAGTTCTTTTTATTAATGACGTTAATAGATGGAAAAGTATTGAATGCCGTAACAAATACAAAATCGTCTCAAAGTTGTCCGATATGTAAAGCAAATCCTAATGATTTTAACAATCTTTCTAACATAAAATCAGGTAAATTTCAAGCACTTGAAAATTCACTGCAGTATGGAATCAGTCCCGTTCATGCTTGGATCAGAATATTTGAATGTTGTTTATATATATTATATAGATTAAATATTAAAACTTGACATGTTCGAGAGACTAAAAATAAAGAAAAGTACGCAGAGAGAAAAAAAAGTACAACAAATTCTTTGGGAAAAGTTGAGTTTAGGAGTGGACAAACCAAAATCTGGTAGTAGTGGAACCACAAATGATGGCAATACCGCACACAGAGCCTTTATAAATGCAAAAACACTATCAGAATGTCTTAGACTGGACTTCAAATTGTTGAACAATTTCAGATTTATCTTAATAAGTCTGTCTTGTCACCTTCCTCTAAATGCAAATATAGTAATATTATTTTAACAAATAAAAGTTGTCCAAAAACAAATATGAGATCATACAAATTGCCAAGTATTTGATTAGACATAGACAAAAATATTTTATTCCAAACCACAAAAATATTTTTTTAATAAATCTGTTACGTCCGGTGGACTCCACGATTTCTCCGTTCGCGAACGTTCGCTTAAAGAACTTAGAATAAGATAAAGCTTATTGGTCATCAATTGGTGAACAAACATCGACCCAACGAGATCGACCGTTGTCTGTCTCCTTGGGAAGATTTATTTCGAGAAAACATTTTACGAAGATTTATTTCAAATTATTAGAACAAACAAAAAGAAATTTCTAACAGAAGAATTTCGAAAACAGATAAAACCTTTTTTTATATACATGTATTATCTGCGGCAGTAAAATTCGATTTCAAAATGCGCCCGAGATCCATATGTTCCAAGATATAAGAAAAACAAATACTGTTTA